CAGATAAGTAAGAATATATATATGAGGTGCAATAAGGCGTCATGTATTAAAAATGACGAAGTTAAAAAGAACTGTGCAGTTGGTCCTTAGGAAAAGCTCTGGTGAATATTTGTCATTTCGCCCTGTGTTAACCCGAATAACGAAAGTTAAGATATAACTACCCACTATGCTTTGTAAGATATACTAGGGTAATTACACACTTTATTTTATTGGCCTCTGTTACACATATTTCGTAAACAATGAGGGGGCCATAACCACCTAATATTTTTTTATATTTTATGTTCTAACGTAAACACACAAATCGATCATATGTTGAAGAGAAAATCAAAAACATTTTAAATCGAACAATGTGTTTGAGTTAATTATTGAAAAAGTTTATGGATTGGAATCAATATGTTCATTTTAGAATCAAAAGTGGTATGAGGTGGACTGTACTTTTGATGGTCTTGATGAAGATGTAACATGGTTTGTAGGAAAGTGTTACAAAGAAAGGATGTTTTTTAATTCCATCCTTAAGACAAAACACACTAGTAATACATAGTAATTTACGAGCATAATTTCAGCTTTATTTAATACACAAAGTACAAGTACAGTACAGTCAACAAAATAAACTTTTACGATTTTTACTTGTACACAAAATATCGCAGGGAAGGTTATCCCACCAGTTTGTTTTCTTCAAGTGTTTATTCTGTGGTGTTACAATTTAATTCTTTTAGAATTTACATTAAATGTAATTGTGTTTGAAACTAAAATACTAATGTTTTATCATAATGTAAAGAAGAAACAAAAAAAAACATACATTAAATGTTCAAATAGCAGAACAAAAGATATCATTAAATGGAAAGAAAAATATACATTAAGAATACCTTTAAAAGAAGAGATGCGCGATTTTTCAGATATGTTCAGGTTTCAGTTATAAATTATTATTAAGACAGGTGTATCGAAGAACAATTGTGCAATTTTAAACATTGCATCTACAAGTCAGACTAAAACTGTGTACACTTAAGTAACTTAAGGTTGGGACTTTATTCTACAAGTTGGGACTTTATTCTGAAATGTTACAAAACAAATTTATTTCCCAACATTTCAAAAATTACAATTATAAATCATTCGAACTAAAAGTAGGCCTTTAGTTACCGAGAGTCTTTAGATGAAACATCTTAAAAGCACGAAAAGAGAATTAATTACTTTACCAAGTAACCAAAAAGTAAGCTTATATCAAGTATCCAAAAATCAATCTAAACATAAGTTTATTCAAGCAATCTTAAAATAAGCTTTAATCAAGCAACTAAAAAGTAAGATTATATCACGTATCTAAAAAGTAAGCTTATATCAAACAATGTAAAAGCAAGCTTATATCAAGTAATCTAAAAAGTTTTTATCAAGTAATTTAAAAGTAATCTTATCTCTAGTAAACAAAAAGTAAGCTTTTATCAAGCAACCAAAAATAAGCTTTCATGAAGGGACCAAAACCAAAAAGTAAACTTATACCAAACAATCTAAATGTAGCTTATATCAAGCGATCTAAAAGTAATCTTATATGTAGGAACAAAAAAGTAACATTATATCAAGCAACCTAAAAATGAGCTTATATCAAGGAAGCTAAAAATGAGCTTATGTTAGGCAGTCTGGAAGCTTATATCAAACAAATTAAAACTAAGCTTAGATCCAGAGAGATGTTGTATTAGGCAGTCTAAAAAAACAAGCTCCTATAGAGTCAAATTTCTTTACGTTCCCTAGGCTTTTATTGCATTACTTCCAGTAAAGTCTATCATATAAGTTACTATAATTATCATATTAAAAAACTTCATTGTTTCAAAATTGGTTTTAAGTGTTTTCCTATTACACATACTAGTAAATAGGTGTAGTCAATGGGCAAAGTACTGAAGACGATAGCATATGTACATCACGAAGAATAGACAGTCAACTGGCCACAACTAGAAACTCCAATAAACATAGACCCTCACAATCCCATATCACGTTTTTCATGTAGAATCACGAAACAACTTATCATATGTTGAAAGACCATTGAACATATTTCCCAGGTATATATTTATTCATGAAGAAAACAGTTGTTAATCAATTACAACTTAAGAAGCCCGTTATATATAAACCGCCCTCTCTGCATAACAAGCGATGATAAAATTGTACTCGTGATTTATAAATGCATCCTAGTCTCAAATATGAACGAGCAATTAAGTAATTGTGATTACATTAAAAATTTTCATCCAGATGCTGTTGTCACAAAACAATGTTGTACCAGTTTAATATAATTAAATCAAAATGTTTGGAATCACGTGTATGCGTATTCTACCTAATATGCATTGAGGATTTTAAACGAGACAATGGATTCTTGCAGGAATGACTTAAATACTGGAATTTTTTGCAAGGAAAAATACAAAACAGTGAACGGGAATGTACTACCTACTGCCGTTTAAGTGTGAATTCAAGAAACAGCGCAACTGTGTCGTTTCAGAAGAATCTTTTCCTTGATCTTTGGCGTAGAAGAGAATACTGGGAGTGAACGGCGTCGTTTCTTTAAAGCTGGGCTCAAATCGTATGGTATCTTAGCTTGAACAAGGAGTTCCTTGAAGACTTGAACAACGTTTAAATTATCTTTGGCTGAACACTCCACAAAACCATTTTCCCAGTCTATACACGTGACGGTTTCGGCAACTTCTCGTCTGACCTGACGTTTCTGCTGAAGATCATTTTTGTTCCCAACCACAACAATTGGAATCCCTGCTGGCCGGATTTCCAAAACAAAATCATGCAGTCGACGTACTTCTTCAAAGGACTCGCTATCGTCGATGGAGTACACCAGAAGTACAGCGTCACCAGTCTGAATAGCCAATCTTTTCATGACTGGAAACTCACAGCTTCCACTTGTATCAAGGAGATCCAGAGTTAGAGAACAACCACCAACGCTGAACTCACCACGGTGTAGTTCTTCTACTGTGGCGCTGTAGTCAACAGGAAAGACTTCATAGAGGAATTGCCGAATAATTGCAGTCTTGCCAACTTTTGTGGCACCCATGACAACAACACGGTAATAATCTTTTGGTCGTTGTTCGCTGCTTTCAGCAATGTTGCTAATAGAAAGAGGTGTGGTTGTGTGAGAATTCGGCATGTTTCACACTATGAAAGAAGACGTACGTGCTACTTATTATAGAAATATCGGCGGCTGGACAGAGCACTGTGTCCCTTCTGGAAAAAAAAAGTGAAAATATTTAGTAATATAAACACCTTGTACCAGTTAATCCACCGATCTTGAAAAGTACACATTTCTGACTAAAATACTTAGCTATGTAACTTTATGTTAAAATATCACAAGTCGACGTTTACCAGTTACCATAAAATTATTTTCATTCTACTGAACGAAGAACGTGAATTGTGATAGTGCTTAATAGTTACCATGTAGAAGACACTTTAATACGTTACTGTCCGAAATCTGTGAAATGACAAGAAGAAGAACACACGGACTGAATGATATTTTGCCATGATGTCTTTCGTTAAAACCAAAAACTAAAAACCATGTATATAACCGAACAGGAACAGCTCGCATGATTATTTTTAACATCTGATACAAACATCATCCTTCCACAAAACAACATTATGCATGTTTTCGTTTACATGCCATGTCACGTACAAGTAAATATTTCCTTATCCACAGATAGTATATCAATAATCCAATCTGTATTGCTTCGAAAATATACCGGATGCTAGAATGATAACACAGAATCGCGCATATTCTATTTAGTGTTGAATAATACCTTGATCTACTATTCTCAGCGTTGTTACTTATTACAATTTACTCCTGACGAGGCAGAATATTACGTAACGTATTATAATTTGGAATAGCCTGAAACTGAGTTAAATGATAATTTAGACTTAGGAATTAAATAAATGTCGATATATATCCAATTTATGAAACTTGCCAACAAAATTGATACATACAGCTTTTTTAATATAAATATAGTTTAATATACAAACAATAACACAATTTATAATAACGGTTATTACAAATAATGATCTATGTACAAAAGTTTTACAAACTTACAAACAATACTTAGTCCTCTATCTGGTCTGGAACTTCCTTGATTTCTTATCGAGGGTACACGATGAGCGAATTAATTTTCAGTAGTTGTAGATACAATTCACTTAACAGAGAGCCAGCTAGATCTGAATTCTTCGGTATTTGCCGGTCACACGCCGAGTTGTCCACCACTGAAGTTATATTATGTTTTAGTAAAAGTATTAAAGTCCGATGTGAATTCTGAAACCGCTGAAGTTAAATGGTTTGTTACGTTAATCTCTCGTGGTTGACAGTTTATGTAATAAGCGTCTTATGGTTGATCAGATATATTCTTGGTTCAGGAAATATTTTAAATACAATCTTTTATTGGTATACAGGAAATATAAGTAAACTAACGCTCTATTTTTCCAGTTTCAGACTGAGATGGTAAAATAACTCAATATTCCCTCATTCACAGAAGTATACGAATTTCAAAAACGTAAAAGAAATATGAAAAACCCGTTTTTGGGAACCTGTTCAAGTGATTCATTTTCTCAGACACTTCTTAATAATAAGGCATTTTAATGCTATATCTCCTGCCTCGCGGTATAATATAGGAAACTCTTTTATTCTGATATACAATTCATATAAAAGTCCAATACATATTCGTGGATATAAATAAGTTAACCCAATTTTATCTGGTTTTCGCAGCTATGTAGCAACGTAATCTCTGTTGATTCGCACGCACCATATGGACCCAGTACCTTCTGATTCACAAACATATATATCAACTCATTTGTTCTGGTTTGTGACGGATTTATTATTATTTATTTATCTTAATATCAACGTTTGCTTCGATTAAGTTTATATTTAGAAACATTCATAGCTTATAGTGTTAA